GAAAATAACTGAATTGAAATAGATTTCTCTGATTGAATGAAAATAATTCTTTAAAGAAAATACCTTCTCAACTGTACAGACTATACTCTCTGATTAAAAAATCAATTTTCTTCTTTAAATATTGAAAAAGTTAATCATGAGAAGTTATCTTTCTGAAGAGAAAAGCTTGAATCTCTTATAGACTTACAAATAAGTGAACTATTAAAAGAGAAAGAATATGAACAGCATTTGAAGAGAATTTCTATAATTAATATAAAAGACTCTATTCTGATTTATTCAGATGACTTAAAAAATGAGAACTTGAATAGATTAGACACAGACATTGCTTATACTGAAGATAATATCAATTTTATCTCAGATTTCTGAAATCTAGACTGTGAATATGAAGTCTTTGATACTGAACTATTTGTAATAGTAAAAGCTTTCAAACTCATTGAAATAAAATCTCATAAAAGAGAAAATTATTTAAAAGAGATATAAATATTCTCTGATAGTCAAGCTGCTTTAAAAAGACTTAGAAATAGTCAGATTTATAATGATCAAATGAATCTTGAACTGATCTTAAACTCTGTTTTAAAAATTCAAAAGAGAAGAATATCAAAGCTGATAATTCATCTGCACTGAGTTCCTGCTCATATGAATATTCATGACAATGAATTAGCTGATTCAGCTGTAAAAAAGAGTGCAGAATTAAGCAGATCTATTCAAAAAATTATATTCTAGTCTTTTATGAAGAGAAAAATAAAAGAATCTTATTTAGACAAGTGAAATGAAAGCTGACAGAAACAAAAGAAGAGTATACATTATTCAAGATTTGAAACAAAACTCAAGTAGAAATCTTGTTCAATTAAATGTAAAAAGAAAATATTCTCATCTATAATACAGCTGAAACTAGAACATGACTATTTCAAATCTTATATACAAAGATTTGATGATAGATTTGACTCAATAGAATGCTTATTCTGCAATACAAATGAGAATTCTGAGTATATTATAATGCACTGTGCATTATACAATAATCTCAGCGCCAGATTGAAAGAGAAGTATAATCTAAATCAATTAAATATGAGATTCTTATTCTTAACTGAGATAGGAATTAAATACTTAATAGACTTTCTATCAGAAACTCAAGCAGCTATAAGAAAATGACTAAATTCAGAATTATCTAAATATGAAGAGGAGGAAATCAATCAGATATAGTCTGTTAAAACAGCTATATACTATCTTTTAATAATTTGTTTTATTATAGTCTTTCTTTACTTTATCTTTTTCTTTCAATTTCTTTCTATCTATCTATTTAATATGTCTATCTTTAAGACTGTGTTCTCTTTTCCTTTGTCATGATATTGTCAAATGATTTCAAAGTATCAGAAGATGTTAAAACACTGTAATTTATAAACAGTTTTTATATTCTGAGCTGGAATTTTCTGATTTTGCATATCTGAAATTGATGAATGTATAATAGTTAACTTTACAGATATAGAAAAAACCCTGAGAACTAAAAGTTCTCAGGTAGATGTCATAGTCTCTGACTGCATACATCTATAATTGAAGAATAATAATAATAATAAGAATATCATCTATTTCAGATTATTTTACTATAAGCAGAATCTTTTATTTTTATATAGAATAATTTACAGAGTCAGTGAGTATAACAGACTTCTTTATAAATCTTACTTAATCTCTGAATTTATTAAGAATCTTCATTAATACAGATATTCTACTCTTTTATTGAAGATAGTTTATTAAATCTGTATTAAGCTTTTTATTTTCATTTCTATCTGTCTTTATTTACTTAACTTCATACTGAAGTCTTGTAATTTCTAGTCTCATATAAGTCTTCTCACTTACAGAGTTATTATTATTTCAGTCACTTAAGTCTTCTATATTATCTGATATCTCACTGATATCTTCAACTGAGTCTTTGTATTTATTATTGAACTTATCAGACTGTTTCTCTGTGATGATTTTATTCAGCTCAAACATCTCAGAAGCTGTCTTCTGATTCATTATTAATATTAACAGTAATCTGTGATCTTATATTTACTGCTCTAATATTTTCTCATTTCTTCATCTTGAAAACATGTATTCTTTTATTAAGTCAGATATTCTCTCAGATCTTAGATTAATTATAAGTTCAATCACTTATAAAAAACATCTAGACACATGTAACAATACATGAAGACATAGTTGGCACATTATTTCAGCAGTTTTCATTAGCTTAATGAGGGCTTCATAATCTCTTGAAGAATAACATTGTTGTTTTTGTAATCTAACTACGCGAGTTACACTAAATAGGTTGGGGTGGCACGTGACTAGGGTAGGTGTAGTAATCACCAACATGCAGAGCTTGTGAGAGAGGTTGAACGTGGTTGGTTGTTGTTGTCTAACTAGTAGCTAGTGAAAGCTAAATATATGTGTGTGGGTCACGTGGGTTAGGGCTTGTGTAGTAGCTCCAACACCCCCCCATGCTACGCAGGCCAGTTAACCCACGCAGCCAAAAGCGCCCAAATCATTCAAATCTGCAATAATAATTAATTACACAAAGTAGAGTCTAGTTTTCTCATAAGGACTAGCTCCATACATGCAAATACACGCGAATATGCAAGAAAAAACGCTCAAATCCGTCCTTCCTGTATCTGTATTACCCCCCCAGTCATCTGAACACTGCGGGGTCTCATTTCTCATATTTTTGTCATTTTATTGTTATTGTTATCGTGGTTATCATATAGACACACTCGGTGGCCTGGTTATCGTGGGTTATCGTGGTTATCATATAGGCACACTCGGTGGCCTGGTTATCGTGGGTTATCATGGTTATCATATAGGCACACTCGGTGGCCTGGTTATCGTGGGTTATCATGGTTATCATATAGGCAATCGGTGGCCCGGCATCATATAGGCACTGGGGCCTGGCATCGTAGGCACTGTGGCCTGGCATCATATAGGCACTGTGGCCTGGCATCGTAGGCACTGGGGCCTGGCATCATATAGGCACTGGGGCCTGGCATCGTAGGCACTGGGGCCTGGCATCATATAGGCACTGGGGCCTGGCATCGTAGGCACTGTGGCCTGGCATCATATAGGCACTGTGGCCTGGCATCATATAGGCACTGTGGCCTGGCATCATATCGGTATTTCCATCGTTTTGGCGTCGATATTGGCGGTTATGGTTATGATTATGTCCGTGACATCGTTGACACCACGGGTTATGGTTATATCCATGATATCGCTGATACCACGGGGTTATGGTTTTGATTATGGTTATGGTTTTGTGAAATCTGACCTCCGGATCCACAGTATTTTTGATATTGGTATTGTTATTGGCATTGTTATTGGGCATCATTATCAGGATTTTTTTTGTGTTCTTGTCATTCAACTGAGCAATATGCTGTCTCAGAATGGCGGCTTCATTGCAGTCTGTCATATCTTCGCGTTCTGGAGGATTATCTTGGGCTTGATTATTCTTGTTGTCTTCGCGCGGTTATTGATGTTGGAAAGGATCCAGCTATCTGATTCTCTGAGATCTCTTCGCGGTTGATCGATCTAGTATTGACAGGCATTTGATATGAGGTATTTGAATGAAAGAAGCAGCTATTTGAAAAGCTTATTGTATGATTATTGCATGGTTATAACGCTTCGTAGAAGTGCAAGGGCTTCATAACCTGTGAGAGAGGTTGAACGTGGTTGGTTGTTGTTGTCTAACTAGTAGCTAGTGAAAGCTAAATATATGTGTGTGGGTCACGTGGGTTAGGGCTTGTGTAGTAGCTCCAACAGAGCTTGTAAGGCTTACATAACGAGTTCTTCTCATCCCTAGCTATGTAAGGCCTGCTGGTCTTGGCAACCATGCTGCTTTTGTTACATCATCGTCGCTGTCTTTCCGCATCGTGGCCTGTACTTGAGTTTGTCAACGCCCAAGACTACCTGGCCAACGTCCTCCCGATATATAGCTTCCCCCGGCCTGGCATTGCCCTCTACTGCTGCTTCTTCCTTTCGTTTTCATCTCAATTATCCCGCCTGTCACCTATATATTTCTTTAACCAATTCCCCTTTTGAATTCCCGCCGCGCTTCCCCCGGCGCTTGCCTCCTCTTCCGAACCCTTGTTTATTCGCCCCTCTCCCCGAAACCGAGTTCCGCCCTTCTCCCCCTTTGGCAGCCATGGCGCAAATCCGTGGCACGGCGGGATACAATCTAGGAAACCAGAACCCATTTGGCGGTCCTGGAAGAGCAGATGCCACCAGCGATCCCAGCCCGCTTGATGCGATTCGAGAGCAGACAAGCAAGATCGAGGACTGGCTAGATACTCTCTCCGACCCCATCAGGCCGTATGTTTTTGTCCACGCCGCCTCCCCCTAGGCATTCCCCGCCCGTGGAGATAGACGATAGAGAAATCCCCGTACCTCCGCAGCCACAAAGCAATCTCTACTCATATCATGTCCAGCTATTCCGTCCCCGAGGGCTAATCGTATGTCACATGGGATTTATAGCTATTTACCCGCCGTCGGCCGTTTTTTGATTGTCGTTACTTTCCTTGAGGATACTCTTCGTATCTTCACTCAATGGAGCGACCAGCTCGACTATTTGAAAGATTTTAGAGGCAGTATGTTAAGAAGATCCCCTCCCCTTTTTTAATTGAGAGCTCGATATCTTGGCTCTGTGAGCCAGTTAGCTTTGATCAATGATCTGCAGCTCCTTTGTTACCTGTCTAACCAATAAAAAAAAATTGTTTTTATGCGTCCGGTCTGAATTTAGTTCCATGGGGCATAACACATCTCTTCCTCCTCATAAACGTCATCGCAATGGTTTCTTGTTCGATTCTGGTCATCGCGCGGAAACATAGTGAATATGCCGTCGCGGGTCTTCTTGGGGTCGTCGTCACTCAGGCGCTTGGATACGGCCTCATCTTTGACCTGACCTTTTTCCTTCGCAACCTCAGCGTCATCGGAGGACTTCTCATGGTTCTTTCAGATTCCTGGGTACGTAAGCGGTTTGTCCCCGCTGGTCTCCCGCAACTCGACGAGAAGGATCGGAAGATGTACATCCAATTCGCCGGGCGTGTATTGCTGATCTTCCTGTTTATTGGGTTCGTATTTGCTGGCAAGTGGACCTTCTGGAGGATTCTTGTTAGCCTGTTTGGATTGGTTGCGTGTGTGATGGTTGTTGTTGGATTCAAGGCGAAGTGGAGCGCTATCATCTTGGTGGTGATATTGAGTGTCTTCAACATACTCGTGAATAACTTCTGGACGGTATGTCTTCCTCGCCCTCCCCTTTTTTCCGTAAATTGCAGGCGCTAATCAGAGCCTCATTTCAGCTACATTCCAAGCACCCACACAAGGACTTCGCCAAATATGACTTTTTCCAAATCCTCTCCATTGTGTAAGCTCCCCCTTTTATCTCGATTTGTGAATTTACATTCATCTCTTTTTACATCTAAAGTATCCCGACTCATCCTGACATTCCTCTCTAGTGGCGGCCTCCTCCTCCTTGTCAACATGGGACCCGGCCAATTCAGCGTGGACGAGAAGAAGAAAGTGTATTAAATCATCTCTTGCCCTCTCCTTGCCTCCCGTTTTTCTTCTCAATAAGCACGGCGTGCGGAAGAAGATCAACAGATAAAATCGAGAAAAAATTGATTCCTCAAAAAATCTTAACCCAAGCACGCAAAATGTATCGCTGCTACATAGCGTCAATCCATCACGGCATTGTCCCATCCAATCTACCCGGCAATATCTCCCTCCTTCCGGTCCCAACGTACTATCATCTCTTGCCTGATTTCCCTCTCTGTGTCTCCAATACCTACCAATATTTCGGATAAAAATCGGTTCCTGTTTTCCAATTTCCTCTACCGCCTAACTTGTTCTTTTTAACCTTCCACTATTTCGAAAATCTATTGCTTTTCTCATAGCATCGCTTACTTCAAAATCTTTATGTTGTCTGATGGTTGTCATTTTTTGTGTTGCTAGTTGCTTTGTTTGTTGTTTCTTCAGGGGTGTTTTTGCTTAATCTTACTATTTTTATTTTTACTCTGATTACTTTCGTTTTTTCTTACCTCTTTACTCTATTGACCTAGTCATGGTTTTTTTTTTTTGAGGCCTTTTATTCTTCATTTTCGTTTCCGTTATTTTTTTTCTACATCCACACACAAACTTCAACCATGCATGTATGTATGTTATCTATGTGCAATCTGATCTGTGTAAGGCCCTGTTATTGTCTGGGGGAAATTATTATTTTTGAATGATTCTTTCTATAGTTTTTCTTTTTCCTTTCCTTTGGAATGAAGCGGTCCTCCCCGCAACAATTATTTTCATCTATACGAAAAGGAAGAGGCTTTGATTCTATTGATTATTTAGTTAACTACCTTTTTCTGTTGGCTTCTCACTCTCTCTCTCTTTTTTTTTTTTTTTTTTTTTTTTTTTTTTTTTTTTTTTAATCCCCCTTAAAAGGCCAGTTAGTTCAGGTCATTTGTAACTAGGATACATTCATTCATATTAAATAGATTGTGTAATTTATTTAATTTCTATGCAACGTATCCGCAAAATCAAGCGCGATAGTTTTATCCTGACCGCTCCTTTTCTAAAGGACGTTTTATTTAAAACCTTCGTCCGATGGAAAGAGGCAGGATTAGCACAGCACTTCACCTACCTATGCTTGTCCGTGGCATTCTTCTCAACCTAACAGCGAAGCTACTCAACGCGAAAAGGGCGAGTTAAACCACATCAACTGTGCAGTCGACCCGTTGAATGACTAGCTAGCTAGGTAACTAGCTGTTGCATGGTAACGTACCCATAGCGTAGTTAATCACTATGTCATTTGAGTCAATTCATCTTATCTGTTGCAGTACTGACAACATTGATATGTCTTGCTTCTACAGCATAAGCAATAACTTTCTCAGCAATGCATATACTGATAGCTACTAGAAGTATTCACAGTAGAAAGATAAAATGTAGAGATCAAATATATAATAGCATTCAAGCTGAGTTGTAAATAGTAGTTGTGAACTCCTGTCTATATAAGCTGTGTGGCCAAGGGCCGCTAACTCCATTAGTTACACGAGGGATTGGAATAGGGGTAAGGGATCTGCGAGGAGCGGGATTTCTTACATCTATCAATTTTTCTAGTGGTCAATCATAGATAATTTGTACTATATGAATAGAGACATAATTTTACCTGAATATGAGATCTTTCTCATAGAATTTCAAGTGATTTTGATCAAGTAGTTGTATATAGAACTGGGCAGTTGCACGGTTGCACCAGTAAAATATGGTTGAGAGGTGCGGATACTTTTGCGTTAGTACAGTACGTGTACAATACGGAGTACATAGTTACATGTTCAATCCAATCCATCACCGATGCGTCAGTAAGGCAATAAATAGTAAGTAAAAGTCATGCTACGCTATATTTAGCATCTAGTCTTAACCACGGTAGAAGTAATGTTAATTATTATACATAACTTGATAGACATACTCCGTACATGTACCATACATGGAACATGGGGGATAAAAAGGCTAATTTTAGAACGGGACGGGGATTACTTATGCAGATATTAAAAATATTTTTGGGTGTATTTAATGGTTTTATTTGTATATACATGAGGAATGATGTCTTGTGCTTTGTGCGTGTGCTGGCTTGTGAGGGCGGGTAATAAATATCCAGGTGGGAAGTTGGTTGTAGGTAGTAAGTACAGGCTTCAGGCCCCAACGATGAATGAAGAAGCAACTTTCTCTCTGTCTTCGGGATTTTTCTAAACCTCTATATGCATGGGTGTATGTGTAGGTGTGGGTGTGGGTGTATTTGTATTTATGTAAAGGTAAACTTGCGTATCAGCGGCATCAAGGGGTTGAAATGGTTAGAAGTAGGTTGTAGGGAGACGAGAAGATAATGAGGTTGTTGTTGTTGGGTAGAGGTCGCTTGGAGAGATGGTGAGCCGGTGGATAATGAGCACGAGGGTCGGAGGATGAGTTAATATATATGGGAGAAGAAAGGTTGTAACAATATCCTTTTGAACAGGCCATGCAGATGGGATTCAAACAACAGCAAAATAGGGGGAAGAGTAGAAAAGTGAAAGAAAAAGGTAAAGAAAGAAGGAAACAAACGCCTTAAAACAAGAGATTGAGAAACAGCCAGCCTCCTTGTACTCCAAAAAGACGAAGAAAAGCAAAAGAAAGAAAGAAATAATATCAAACATCCATGCTCCACCGCCAAGGTCGGATAGCAGGCCTCCTCATCCCCTGCTGCTTCTCACCATTACCGTCACAATCACACCCCTCATAATCACCGTCATAATCGTCATCGTCATCGTCATCAATATCGTAAAAATACGCTGTCTCCGGGCTGCTTACTTCCACCTGTAGACTTCGTACGAGGTCGTGTGGTTTCAGGGCAATATCGAGGGTAGAGGATGGCCAGGCTGTGTGTAGTTTTTCTGGTTGATGCTGTTGAATAGAAAATGCCTTTCCACTATCGGCTGTAGCCTTTGAGGTAGGCCGGGATTGAGGTTGTGATTGTGGTAGAGGTGGTTGTTCGGAGTCTTCAGTGGGTTTCCATGGCCACTGCCAGGATGGAGGAGGGGTGGACGAGGGTTTTACGGATGAGTTGTTGTTAGAGGCCTGTTTGGAGCCGGTGGTTGCAGAAGGAAACGCAGGACGTGGAGAGACCAGGACGACATCCTCCGTAGACAATGGCGGGGGGGAGAAGAAATGATCGGACCCCTCGTGGATTGGAGGTGGTTTATCACGCCTTCTACTACTCCGTAAAGAATCTCTGAAGGGATGTTGTTGTTCTATCCATGCTGATAGACGTGGACAAGGACATCCATCAAGCTGTCCGTCGCCTTGCCGTTGCATCTGCTGTAGCCTTTGCCTCCTTCGAGGAGACGCTGATGCCCCCTCACCCTCCCCCTCTTCCCCATTCCCATTCCCATTCCCATTCCCACCTGAAACGGCAACCCTCTCAAAGCTCCCGAACATGCGATCCCGCGCAGAAGCAGAAGCCGTAGACCGAACCTTCCCCTCCATCACCTTCGCGCTGGGCGGCGGCTGCAACATCCAGCGCGTCTCTGTACGACTAACCGGCCCACAAACCACAGGCGGATGAAGGTCATTAATCGCTGGATTCCTCGCGACGTAGTACTTCGCGGAGCTTCCGGTGTCTGCTCTCCCGCGCCCAGATAAACCAACAGAGGAGCCCTTAACCTCTTCCCCTGGCCCTCCACTAGAAGCGCCACCATCACCACCACCCCAGAGCACCTCATCTTCCCGCTGGTACCGTATCCTATTCCAACGATCACCGAGTTCCTTCCTTGATGGGACCAGGTCATCCAGCACGCCCGACACAGCATCGGCTATCACACCCATGCCATTCTGAAGCGTAGATTCCTGCGATAAAGTCTGTGCGGTCGCTCCTGCAACGGCAGGACTATCGATGCTACTACCCCCCTGACTCCCCGCATCATGATCCTTCTTTCTCTTCTTGTTGTTCTTGCCATTCTGATGGTTGTTATTGTTATTATAGCTATTGTTAGTATTTCTCCGCCCAGCCCTCCTAGCCGGCGGTCCAGGCCCCAGCGCAATCTCCTCTTCCCAATATGAGTTGGTGGAGAATGGCACTGGTTGCTGGAAAACGATGGCGGGTGGCTGGTCCGTTACAAGGTCATTGTTAGCGGCGTTATGGCGAACGGCCTCGCGGTGTGTTCTTGCGGCGTCCTTTTTCCGCCTTCTGCGATCTTTGGAGGAGGCGCAAGGGGTGCAGGTTGCGTAGTAGAAGACGGCGGATTGGGCGCCGCGGAAGAGCCACATGGTGGTATATTTGTTCTCCTTCGGGGCCCTTTATCTTTTATGTCTCCTTTCTTCTTTTCTGTTTTGCAGTTTCCCTTTAACCAGGTTGGCTTTAGCCCCCTTTTTTCTTCTTTCCAGTTTCACTAATTTAGAAATGGGATCGTTGGTGAGGGTGTCGACGACCGGGAGAGTGGTGTGAGAATAGATACAGAGACGCACACATTGGCGATTATTCTAGGAGACAGACAGGTTGTTGCTTGAGTAGAGATGAGATTTTTTGTTGCTTTCTGCAGAGTAATTATGTTAGAGCAGCTTGAGTAGGTGGGACGATGGAGAAGACAATAGAACCAGGGTAAGAATAATGTGGCACTTGTTAACAACGCCAAAAAGGAGAGGAGGAATTGGGACGGAGTGTAACTAACAGACAGACAGCACAGGCTCGTTTGTCCCACCTGCCACAGTGATGCGCAGTTACCTTTGAATTGTCCTATTCTTCAGTCCAATACAGGCCAATCGTTACTATAGTATGGTATACAGACTGTACTTGGGGCCAAGTTCAATCCAGCGATGTTCTCAGTCAGTTGTACCCGTGAAGGGGAAGCCAATGAATTCAATTCCTAGTATTCTCAGTATTCTCAGATGCGGTAGCGAAACCAGCACGATAGAGAGGAGGATCATGGGGATGAACACTTCGACTCTGGTTGTAGCAGCTGCTGCTGCATGTGCGCAGTTGCTGGAGGGCAGCGGGACACCAGGTGGGGAGAGCAAGCGGCAGAGACGGAGGTAGATCTGAGAGATAAACCTAGCATTAGTAGAAAGGGTTTGTTCTCTGCGGGTATTTTTAAGGTGAGTTTCCGGGCATTTATTTCGATTGAGTTGGCGAAGTTGTTTGAAGTTGAATGAAGGTGGTGGTGGTGGTGGTGGTGGTCACAACAGATGCACTGGTACCAGACCCGGCCTTGCTAGACAGACATCGCCTGTAACTTAAAATAACAAGGTTCATTGCCTCCAATCTCCCCAATAATCTCCCCAATCATCTCCCCAGTAATATAATCCAGAGATTATCCCCCAAGAATCGCCCCAATACATCCCCCACTTTGCCCGTATCCCGGGTCGCGCGGTCTGGGCGTTGGGGTCTTCCTTGTGCATGTTCACCCCTGAGTTGAATTAATATAAGCGATTTGTCCATCACAAGACACTTTCATGATAGAATATCACTACTCCGTATGTGTGTTTTTACTCACCATTGAGAGAAAAATATTTTCCATATTTTCTTGGTCGCAAAAACTGCCCTTGTCTTTCAATTTCTGCACCTGACCACATGAATGACTGCATCGGGGCATGTGTGTCGTACCCTATAGTTATAGGTAGTGCGGAGCCAGTACATCTGTAGCGCTTTTGTTGTTGCAAGGGCTTTCAATAATTAAAATCATACCCAGGTAACTTTCCAATACGGAGTACTACGCAGCGTAAGAGAATACTACGGAGTACGTACTAGTACTACTACAAAGTTGTTCCCCCTCTGTAACGGAAACAGGGATACTTAACCCAAGCTGGTCTCTAAACCAGCCTGTGGTACTTGTACTGCAAGGATGAGATGACGGAGAACAAAATCAAGAGCAAGGGTTTGGTTTCTTGTTTCTGTTTTCAAAAAGGGCTGCCTGCCTGCCACATTGTTATTACTTCGATAATAATATATAACTATATTAACTATTATCAAGCTTTCTGAGGCAACTTTGGAAAAACTGGGACCTCCCCCTATCCACACTCTTATTTTTTTCTCGGGTGTTTGTCAACCAATTGACACAGCTGTTCATGCAAGTCATCCACGCCACAGTTTCGTTATGAAGCGCTAAGCTGCAGCTGCATGGTGTTCGGCGGGCGCATCCTGTTAGAATGCGCTACTTTTCTTTTGCTATCTTCAAAGAACTTGCTGACCTTGATGATGTTGTTCTTGAGAGAAGTTGCCACTTGTCCAGTATTATAACCCGAAATTGGTCCATCTCGGACCAGTGGGCGAGCGAATGCGGCGTATTGCTGCTGCCCTCCCCACAGGAAACCCCAAACCCCTTGAGCACCTCCTCTTCTCCAGTCACTTCGATGGAACCATCAGGGCAGTCAAAGACTTGGTGCCGTTGCATTAGTTACCCACCACCTCGTCGAGCACTGAAAAGGTCCATATTCAAAAGCTGAGTTCATATCCAGCAACCTTTACAAGCTCAAACAACCCTAGAACCCACTTCCGCCGCAGCCCTACCACATCCCAGCATCGACAACTCCAGATGTAGATCACACCGCAGATGGCAGGCCAGTCTCTTGGAACATTGTAATGATGAAGTAACTACTAGCCCCCGTTGGAACGGTGTAACGGCGAGGGAATTGCGCTCCACGTATTGAAATGGGGAAGGGTTAGGAACGGTGGAGGGGGAAATCAATGAACGCCATTCTCTATGGAGGGATTTGACGCTCAGATGTAAGGTCGATCATCGATCATCGCCTCAAGGAGTTCTAGTGACTGACTGCCTTTATTTCAGTTACCGCGAAGTCGGCAGTCGGACATGAGGTCGCATATGCGATGTGGTTGTCTGGAGCAAGAACACAGACGATAGCAGCATTAAACAGACCGAAGAAAATTCAGACAAAACCCCTCAAGGCAACAGATCCTAGCCAGATGGGAACATGGCCGAAACCACCACCTACCCCATCCAACGAAATAATTGTATCTCAATCAATCATACTCGGTGGAATGATGCAGTCCCTTAGCGGTGCCCCCCACTTCCCTTGTTCCTTTCGCGCTTTCCCTACTTTTTCCAACCATTGACTGGAGCTTCACAGAGGGGATAGGCCCAATAGAGCAGTACTCAGGACTACAATAACAATTGTCCTCAGGATGGAATAAGAAGGCCTCATGCTGTAGATGCCCTAAGGGACACAAGGAGCGGAGAAAATCATCAATTGATAGAGATAGCTAAACAAGTTTACATAACGATAGGGCTAGCGACCACTGACTGAGCAGTCAACGGGGGCGGAAAGAGATAAAGGAAAGCTTGCAAGAAAAAGGTGTGCAAGTGAGAAGCCAACTAACTGCTAAGACTTCAGTAGATCAGGAGCGCAGCCTCTCTTTCAACACAACACCCAGCAATAAGACCAACATAACAACCTGCTCCCCAACCCTCTCATCTGGATAATTCCAAGGTTTTAGCACGTCTCTCCTTCATTCAGTTAGGTAGATAGATAGGTTGGACATAGTCATTTGATTGGCAGAGCTTGCTTGGTCTTTACGTATCTTGTTGCCGCCTTGTCATTGTGCTCAGTGAGTCGCGAGTATTAGCTTGATGGCACTGGTTGTGCAGCCGGAAGAATGTGCCTTGAAGCAAAGTTCGAGTGGAACCCCCATTGTCCAAGGCCTCAGATTGCTCGTGGTCCATATTTGCTGTCAAGCGTATTCTCATTTGTATCTGCAGATTTAAATGAGAGGAACTGTATGTGGGACAACCTTCCCAGGATTGCTAAATATGAGGCACATGGCCGGCCACTCAGGCAAACCTTACCATTTTGTTGAGCTCCTCAAGCAGGGAGAGCCTGTCTCACCCATTAAAGTCTCTGAGAATTTACGCACGGAGGAATTCTGTCTCAGGGACTTTGGTCTGGTAATGAGACTTGGTGAGCTCAAGACAGACAGCCACACGCTCATGGAATTTTGCTCCCCAGCTTGACTTCATTGAAAAGATCCAAGTTTTGCTTGTGGCGTGTGGAGCTACATGGTTATCTTTTCAGAGCTTTACCTTGGCTATACGTACGCCTTTCCCCAGTGGATATAAGGGTGGGGTAATAACTGGCATGGTCAGACGGTTGGGCCCACTACCTGAGTAATGGAAGAGGCATTATATCTGGTCTGAAGATGCCTTGGATCCCTGGTATGATCAGGGGACCGGGGCTGATCCAGCTTCAGATCTCGCAGCAACAATTGCACTCTTTCGTCCTGAGGTTGACCTAATCGGGCGAAAACATTGTGCACTCCATTTTGTCTAAAGGATTTGTTTGGCTCCCAGAGAAACATCTGACAGCAGCACAAACCCTACATGACCCCTCATTCAGGGTTATTATGAAGATATACAATTGTTGATATGATCTTCTTCTCGTTTCTGTACGACTGCTATTTTTCCTCGCACTTTCTGAGCTTCTCCCTTCTTTTGATCCCTGGCGGTCGTGGAGATGGAGACCACAGAGGTCAAAGAGGTTTTGATACCGTTTGATCAGGACGTTCGCGTTGTCGCGTATCAAGGTGTCGTAATTGTATATATCTCATATGCACCAAGATTACACCGATATTCATCCTAGCTAGTTACATACAAAATATAGGGCTTTTATAATAAAAAGAATGTGTGATCCAAGAAGCTAGCAATTAGCGAGTATTAATGAGCAATTGTAGTTGGCCGATTAATATAGGAAAAGTAGTAGTAATACGAGGTTTAGTAGGGGTCATAGCGTACGACCTCTTATATCCCAACCCAAGGATTCTACAAGGTAGGGCTGGCGGCTAGTTAGTTACCGATTAGCTACATCTCAGTAATTGGCCAAGATTATGTATTATCATCAGGCGCATCAAGGTGACCATGACAGTGTCACAGCCCAATCCAGGCAGAATAGAATATAGCATGAAGCAGTATCCATTCCCCAATTAGGTGGGCTGTTAAACGACAATTCAAAGTACGGGGAAGAAAAGAAAAGGTTTTCAAAAAGCAACAGCAAGGTGCTCTGAGTGTTGATACCTTAGACACTTGATCCACATGACTAGCCCTGCTTTCACTTGGAATATTTAGATCAAGGCTTGATGACATTAGAATCCCTATATCTCCACTTAGCTTCAGTCAACATTATCATAGTTTTGGTTGTTTTCAATTATTAGATATAGGGTGAGCATCCCCTTGATGGAGACGATGTATGTACATGTACATGTACATGTAAGAGCGCATAAAATCTTCGATGGTGGCAAGATTGGGAGCTGGCTGCTTTTCAGGAAGGCATGGCACTCCTCCCTCCCCAATGACGTCCAAGTCTGTCATCCTGTGAAATCCATCATCCATCCAAGTCAAGTAGAAGGCAGAAGAGGTAACAAAGTGAGATGGGTCCATATTGTTTATACACTCGTCCAACACACTCTCTCGACGATGGATTGACTCATCAGGATACTTGTTCTCATTTCAGACACTGTCATTCGCCCGACGCTCGCCTCTCCTCTCTCTTGTAGCCGTTTGTTCTAGCGACTGAAAGTCTATATCTACCCGAGATTTTGGCACTCTGAAAGTCTGGCGGATCATGCACGCCCAAGGCTCAAAAGGAAGGAAGGCAACAGGAATTTTGGAATACGGTTAAACGAAGCGCAGCATAAGAGGGAAGATTGTTAACTGATGTATGAAGAACAACCCCGGACAGGATCAAAAGAAGGGGGGAGGATAAAGATGCAGGCGACTGTAGCCATGCTGTTCCAGGAATAGTGGATGGCCCACCACTCCTCCCTCGATTGACCAGTCTGAGTGCTTTCCACATCATGGACATGGCAGTGGTATTGCTAGCTAGCAAAAACTGGCATGCAGCCTGAAAATGAATTGCAGAAGATAAGATCGCGCGAGCGAACCACCTTGAAAGGGTGAGGGCAGGAGGGAGCCGCTCGCAGATTTTTGATAGCGTTGCCTACCTAATTATGTAGGTAACGTTAAGGGTTGGGGGGTGCTCCGAAACGTCGTATCGACAAGAAACGCCCTATTCATGAGGGAAAAAAAAAAGGAATTCATTCCGCGCCCTCCCTCTCTCTATCAGAGTTCCTTCCATCCCGATCACCTTTGCTCGCTCTATCATAACCCATATCATGTCGCCCGACTCGTCGATTTGCCGACTGCTGGTCCCAGTTCGAGGGTGCAGGCCACAGGCTAAACTAGGTGCCTGGGTGCGTTTTTGACGTGAGGAAGACTAAAAGGAACAAAGGAGGCTTCCTCCAGATCTATTTGCCATTGCCTATTTCCCAAGTCCTTTCCCCTCCCCATTTCAACTCCTGTCCAGGTAGTCGACTCCTTGAGTCGTGAAATTTTTTCTCCCTTCTCCCCTTTTGCTCCGTGAATAAGTCAATCCTGCTAGACCATACCCGCACATCCAAACGTAGCGGCCAGCTCGTTGGGAATAAAATTGGGGGATATCCGCCTCTCTTCCCCCTTCCACGCCCTTCCCTACCACCCAAATGTAAGTTTTAACGGTGGGGGGCGGAAACCAACGAAAAGGCAACAAAAAAAGAAAAAAGAAAAAAAGAAGAAAGAAGAAAAAGATCAAACAAATATACACACAGAGCATGCGGGCCCTCCACCTTTTATCCCCCGGAACAAATGACCTAAAAAAGAAATGCCCTTGCTCTCAGATATTCTTCGTGCCCTTAACCACCTGCCCTTTAACCTTAGCCCAGTCAATGCCGCCATCGATTTCCTCGTCGACTTCGCCGCAGATGACGACGTTGTCGCCGCGTATTAGATAAAGGCCATGTTCGACCTGCGAGCTGGGTTCTGGGTCATCGGGGGTTCGTATTATGCGCTCGACGGTCTGTGAGAGGACGAGGTTTGTGAGCTGGTCGGTGGAGAGGAGGGTACCGATTAGGGTGCGGCCGTCTACTGTTAGGATGATGACCTTTTCTGTTTTGGGCGCGGGAGGGTTAGTGTATATTTATATATACATATATTTGAGCTCCAAACGGGATGGATGGTTGCTTGTTGTTTTTCCTTTTTGACAACAGCAATAGTAGCGGAGGATTAAAAGGGTACTCAACTATTTATGTAGTATTGGAGGGACATGGTTAGTATGCAGCTAGCTATTCGAGTTCCTAGCCCCTGAGCTCTCTTCAATTGAACAGTCCTCCGAACGAAAGAGTCGGATGTAATGTCCCCCGCCCAACTCCTATCCGGGGCAAGGAAATTGCAGAGCAATTGCAGCGGTCACCGGGTGCGGAAGATAACTTCTTGCATTGGGGAGAGATAGATAGATTAGCAGACGGAGGACAAATGAGAGATAGTCCGCTAATCTGTATAAAACCGAACTTATTCAACTTGAGTCCCGGAAATATCACTGCTTCGTCCAGCGGCGGAGGTCGACAAAAGGCATAGACCCATGAACGTTGGCAGTTCTCTACGGAATAAATTAACGCCGAAACATTACGTTGTGGGGATAGCAATGACGTAATTTAGAGGTTCAACGCTGAACTCTAACTTTTTACACTTTGCCGGCCACTAACTCTGATTCTAACTATCGTTTACTATGTCGTTAATCTTTACTCCGTACTCTTGGGGAAACTGGACGGGAACTGATTCTATTACTTGAAAACGCTTCTGCTCGCAGTCTGCTCAGGAAATGTCCGATATCCCTCACAAGGGCTGCTGAAGAGTTCTCTCGAGTTTCATCTTCTTTCACCCTCCAAATCAGTAACTCCATTGTAACTAACTGTTCAGTTCAGCTAAGTTAGTTCCTTCTCAATGATACCCAACTCTCATAGTTGTATTATTATTATTAGTACGCAGCGACGACCACGACGACGACGACGATGACAAATCCTATTTTATTACCTCACTCTGATAATCAGAACGGCCGAAAGTTGGAGCTCCTAGACATCATACGCCAATTCCCAATAGTGTCCGTCCTTGTCCCTCATATGGGTCTTGGTGATGTCTTGAACCTATCCCGCGTCAACTCCCATTACAGAGCTGTTCTTCACGGGTTTGCGCTCCCCATCTCGGATCCTGCGGACTTGATCAACCCGGCCAACAGTAGCCGGCGCATCAGACCGGATATTCATATTGGAGACCACCAAACCTTATACTGGAAAAATATAAAGAAAAGCGGACAGCTTATCTGCTCAGAACCAACACACACAAGAGGTTTGACGCCACATTTATGCAAGTACTGCTCTTTGCCCGTCTGTGAAGCGTGCATCGTCAAAGTAGGTCTTCATTCCCCCTCTTATAGAAAGTATCGTATAGAGTGACCACTTTGTAACATTAATGCAACATGCAACAAAACAGGAATCCTTCCGCCAATCCACCTCAGCATACAAAAGTCGCACCCGCCCCTTATGCATCGACTGCTGGCTCTCCGGCCAACCCCACAATGGGCGGCGACCATCTGCACCACCGTACCACAATGATGCTTCCAACCCCGTAGCCAGCGCATACTGCATCTGTACCGCCAAGGACGGCTGGATGTGTTCGAAGTGTCGCGAGATCCAGGTCCGGACGGGCCAAGAGCCGATTGCGAAGTGTAGTGGTGAAGGGTGCGGTGGGCCGCCAGGGAAGGATAATGGTCGGAGAAGGATCTGTCTCTGGTGTCATTTGCCGCTGGTGGCGCGGCCATCTATGGAGCAGTCGCGGGAATGGTATGCGGAGAGGCATGCGTTATTGGAGGATGGTCGGTGGGATGAGTTGAATTGGGATGGCGAGATGGAGTATGAGATGGAGGTGGATGGGGGCGGAGGATCGGAAAGGGGATGGCAGAAAGATATAGAAGCAAGACAGAGTGCGCGCTAAAAGCAAACATTGTTTGGTTGAATATTCTGATCTGAATGATTGAATGAAGTATCAAATTTTTTCTATATCAGCAGAACATAGCATTAGCCACAAATCCATTAACCCTCTCTCACGCGGAGGATTGCGGTACAAAGAAAAAAAAATTAAAAATCTCAAGAAACGGGATAGAATCGAAGATCAAAGCCTTGTTCTTTTGGCTAGTAAAGAAGATTCAAGAGAGCTAACCCAAACCTCACCCAAGTCTAATGAAATTGGCAATTAACATTGCTAAGCTACCATACATCCTAGATTCCCACTTGTAGATATTTATATCCCCCTATCCAAACAAAACTCAGAGAAAGGTTAGACAGGGCAAATCAAGACAATTTTTTTCAACGGTTCGGTAACCAGTACCAAATCCCCATCATGCACGCAAAGTAAGGACAAAAGGACAAAAATTGGGGAAGAGGAATGGAGAAAAAAACAACGTCCTCACCCCATCAACTCGCACGGTTCGAGCTAGCTAGATGGACTAAAGGCAAGTGGCTATTTATCAAATCATGTTGTTTACGTAAAACGTACAAAAACGAAAACCTGTCACTTCAAACCAACGCTGAAAGATCCAACGGAACACTACTTCCCCTGCCAGCCCTATACAACTTCTGCCCGCCACGGAACTCCCTTGGTTTCGGAAATAGCGACTCATTCTGGAATCTAAATCTTGGATCCTCGATCCGTATTCTCTGTGAACTGCTTCGCGTACTACTGCCTCGAGAGCTGGGATGCGGTGAAGAACCACCGTTTGTAAGGGTATAGTTGCTTGGGTCGAGCAGGGAGCGGTTAGGTTGTTGTTGCTGTTGTTGCTGTTGCTGTTGCTGGGGTGCTTGATATTGATTTTGTTTGTCTGCGAAGGATGAGGGGCGAGAGGTGAGTGGGGTTGATAATAAGGATGATGTTCGCGCAGAAGAGGGAGGGGATGCTTGCGGTGGCGGGGGCGGAGGTGCTGGGGGAGCGGATGGAGCGGACGTCGGCGGTGGGGGTGGTGGATGAGATGATTGCGAGAAAGCATTTCTAGCGGCCTGCATTGCTATTGAGGCTGTAGAAGCTGCTGCGTGCGCCCCGTTGGCAACAGGCGGAGCGGCGGGAGACGGGGGTGGAGGGGTAGATCGTGATGGGGGTGGCCGGGGTGCAGCCGCTGCTGGAGGAGGTGGAGGAGCAGACGGTGGGGGAGGTGCAGGCAATACGGATGAAGGTGGTGGAGGAGGAGCCGCGGGTGGAGGTGGAGCCGAGACCTTTCGAGAAGAGACCGGGGGGGGAGGAGGAGGTTTCGATCCTAGAAATGGAGGCGGTCGTGCAGGCGTCTCCGGAGCCGATTTGGTAGAGAGATATGATATTGTGGATGATGGTCTTCCAGCTGGATGCGGAGGTACCTTTCGTAAATTTGCAACTAGAGGGTTTTCAGATGGTTGTGGAGGGCCACCGCCCGGTGTTGGAGGTGGCGGACGAACGTTTGGTGGCGGTGGTGGAGCAGTGCCAGTGGGAGCCCAAGGGCCTGGCTTCCGAGAGCTTTCAGAGTCGGAGAGATATGACGCATCTGCACTCGCACCTGTATCTATGCCGCCACGCTTCTTTAGCTTAGGCATACCCCCAGCAAATAACCCACCTAATTGCGGCGCTGAAGGGAGTGTGCCGCTTTCATCAGCATTGGTACCGGCCCCAGCTCCAGCCCCTGCACCTGTACGACCTTGATCACTATTACTCCGCAGTCTATTTCCGCCAGGGACAGGAGGGGCTAATCCACCGGGAGGTTTGGGAATGCCAGGCACGGGCGGGGCTCCGCCGATTGGAGGACCGCTTGATGCACCGGACGACTTTCCAACCATAGGTGCTGATCTGTCATTTGTTACAGCTTTCCTAAGACGAGGAGCACCTTTCGAGATGTCTGAAAGAAGGGCACCCTAAAGAACGTATTGTTAGATTGGGGGCCATATTGGAGAGGGAATTTAGGAACGCCTACCCGATCTTGTGTTATTCCTATAGGCCTGGCTGGTAGGTTACCACCAGGAGGGGGTGGAGGAGGAGGACCACCAGCCATAGGAGGCGGCGGGGGCGGGGGAGGAGGGGGAGGCATGTTGCCGTGAAGCCGCGAGATCAGTTGCGCAGGCAGTCGTTATGGACGGAGCAAGATGAGAGGCGGAAGGTTGAGAGGAGGTAGGTCGCCAAGGCTCAAGAGACAAAGCCTATTCGTAGGAGGTAAGAAGGGAATTAACGCCCGCAACACAGTTCCAACATAGGATCGTAGATAAATATACCCGGTGGGTATACAGTGGTGGAGATGGAGTAGGGTGCTGTTGCAGCAGATAAAGAGTTGTGGGCGAACGCAGTATGGTATGGTATGGTTGTTCATCACCGCTCGGTCATGGCTTGATTTGGGGCGCAGACAGCGGCTTAGGTAAGTTAACTAGTTAACTAAGCTAAATTGGACTGCGGCTGCACACGCCCGGTCATCGGATCTCGATCTATCTCACCTCCGGCAACGTTTAAAGACAGCTACAGAGTGTCTTGCTTCTGGAATGAAGCGCATTACGCTTCAAGCCCCGAGAAGGGCTCATGGCTCAGTGTGCCAACTCTGCCAATTTTCGAGATCCTTTCCCCGTCGACACAGACGCCTTCATACTCGTTCAATTCCAACATCTCCCCGATCAAACATCCTAGACTCAAATGGACCCCAACGACGGAATTTCGGTCCAGCATTTAATTTGCAAAATGGAATTGCGCGAAGTTTTGCATCAGGCGTTGCTAGCACGAGTACTCGTGGCGACCCTGAGGCCATGTTTCAGGAAGTCTTGAAAGAATTTAATACCCTAACCTCTTCCCCGCGCGTTCCACCTGAGGAAGCCGTCGGCCAATTCCTGCAACGCTGCAACGAGCTTGTGAAAATCACACTCACAATCAGCTACAAGACAGTTTCACATCCCTCCCCGCGAGGCGATAATAGTGCCACGTCGTCCCTCCTAGATCTAGACGTAGAAAACGGTGGGAATGGAACCGCATCGGACGTACAAACCGCGCCTAAAAAATCAAAGAAAACGCCCTCGCAAAACCCAAACCTCCAATCTAAAATAGCAACTGAAATATCATCAATGCTAAATAACTTCCTCCGAGATCCCAAAATTTTCATTTCGCCAGATGTCCTCCGTCAATACACGCTGCTGCAGTCACAGCTCAAGCAAGCCGACAACTTCCCCGAAATCTTCTCACTTTACGCCACGAAACCGATTCCTAACGATAACGGCTCCACCATCACCTACCATAAACCTAACCCCAAAACTGTCAAGAACGCAATCCCGCAAGACCTTGCAAACATCGCCCTCGACACAGCCATTGAGAAAAAGAACCTACCCCTCTGCCTTGCCATCATCGACGAATCCTTCTGCAAACAAGCCTACTACCGATCCAAGATATTCCGCAAAGCTGCCCTGCCATTGACAGGTCTAGCTACTGCCCCAACAGCGGCTTATGCTGCATCATCATACATATCGACCCTCCAAACGGCTATGGAACCCAGCACTGCACTCTGGGTGTCGTTCTCCGCAATTCTTGCCTATATAGGATTTACGGCGTCTATTGGCATGGTTGCGATCACCACGGCGAATGATCAGATGATGCGCGTGGTGTGGATACCGGGCATGCCGCTACGGGAGCGTTGGTTGCGCGAAGAGGAGCGTGCGGCTATGGATAAAGTTGCGGTGGCGTGGGGGTTTAAGGACCCGAGGAGGATTGGGGAGGAGGAAGGGGAGGAGTGGGAGAGTCTGAGGGAGTTTATTGGGATGCGGGGGATGATTTTGGATAAGACAGATTTGATGGAGGGGATGGAGTGAGTGGGAAATGGTAGCTGGGCATATCTGTGTTTTGATTTCATAAATTGTCAAACACGGATTGTATGCTGTATGTATAAATAATTATCACATTTACTCATCTTAGAATTGTTCTTCAAGAGATATGGCTGCGGATGCCTGCCTACGTTCCTAAACAAGGGCAGAGGGCAGGAAAATATAGCTAGCTCTACGCTCATGAATAAAAAGCTACTAAATCCAAGTGTAATTCAGGCGGGACAATCATATTTGATTAACGTATATTCTACATATACCTAATTCCGCCCAACTTGACACCAAGACATCACAACCACGCAACCCAACGCGAGAGAAAAGACAGCAGCGCAAAAGGAACGCTTGCATCTAATACAATCTCTTTGGCGGGGACATGGAAGCCTTGATGGTCAAGCTGCCAACGTTCTGCCATCCCTTCTTCAACAAACTGACCAGGTAGTTGATGGCCAACATGATGTTGGATATCAGTTCGTCCTCAGTCATTCCGACATTGCCAACGGCAACACCGAGACACAGAACCTTCTTCAACTGGAACTTGATGGTGGACTTGACGTCGTTGATCTTGTTGGAGAGGTCTTCGGCGTGGGAGACGGGTGTGGGGAATTTGCCAGCTGCAAGACACAGAGGGTCGTTAGGGCTATTGCTTCATGGAACGAACTGTAACATTTGAGAGGGATAATAAAAAAAAGAAAAAGAAAAAAGAAAAAAACAAGGCGAAAAACCTACCCTTGGAGAGACCAGGTCCCAAAAGACGGGGAACCATCTTGATGATGCTGTCGGAGGCGATGAAAGCATCATACTTGCGCGCCAGCTTCTTGATGAGCTTCTTGTTCTTGTTCAGCTTCTTCAAGTCCTCAGTGGACATGGAGTCGATACCGAGATGCTTGGCACGATCGATATCATGTTGGTCACCGAGAACGCTATTATTCATGTCCAAGTCAGTATAAGTATACCCTTCAAGATACTAGTTTCGCTATCGCTTCTTCTTCCAGAGTGCCAGGTATTGGTGTGGTGTGAAGCGGGTATTGGGTTTTAAAAAAAAAAAAAAAAAAAAAAAACCTACCAGATGCTCATTCCAGGGCGGGGAACGGAGGGCAACTTGATGGTGCCGGAGAAACGCTTGTCACGCTGAGGATCATAGTTCTTCAAGCCGATCTGGAGCTCGACGGTCTCGAGGAAGTTCCTCTTCTTCTCGTTTAGGGAGTAATCGAGGATTTGTTGCACATTTTGGCGCACTCCGGCTGTGGTGCGAATTAAAAAAAAATGAGACGTCAGCTTTATATACACACGACTTTTTTGTATCCATCTACCCAAGGAGGAAAACGTTATTTTATGAGCCCGGGTCTGTTCATCGAGAGTTTAAACATACCGACTGTAACTTTCGACATGATGGCGACAGTCTTCCAGAAGAAATTTGATTCTTATGGTGAGGATTTGCGCTTGGGAGAACAAGATCAAGCAGTAGCAGCGGGCAGATGTTGAAGAGGAAATATGTGACGAGTTGTGGGTGCGGAACTGTCTAGTCGCATTCGGTCTAGTTTAGCCCTAATCTATTCCATCACGTGACTTCTCTTTGGTAGCTAGAATCTTTTCTGAATTATGAAATACTGAGTATTTTTTAATATGGAACAGAGAGAAAACATTAACTACAGATTTTGATATGCACAGAAACTGTACAAATGTTAGTCGGAGTCCCCAGAACGAAATTACGCGCAATTTGCCTACTCTCCTGACTTTCTGAACATATCTTTGACACTCCATCTAAAATGCACACTCACTACAGAGTACACATCTTGGACATAATCCAGTCTGGCTGTTCTCATCCCCATCTCAACATGAAGTTTCTTAGTGTAGACATGTAGATTAGAAGGTTAACAACAGATATTAGTATTAGAATGAGTTAGAATGAGTTATATAATTGCAAAAAATAGGAAAAATCAATATTATGAGACGGCGCAGAGGGTGAGGTGCTGGATATCCATAGTGCAAGTACTTTTAATGGGCGCACTGTCATAAGGTCCGAGTTGGAACCACGCTGAGCTGTTTTTCCAGCCTGAGCTGGCACCACAATCAGTTTTGTTGGCATCGTGTTCAACTGCAACCCGTGAAACAACTAGTAGAGTGCATAAGAAGCCATATTAATAATTAATTCTTTCCATCGAATTATTATTAGTGTTACAAAAGGTCAAATACAAACTAAATGTGGTTCATGTCATCATATTGTGAGAAAGAAGAGGGATGGAAAAAAAAGAACACGGCGCAAAGCCTTGCACTATCTCGCTGTCCAGATGCTGCCCTATTTACTCCTAGTCACCAAAAGAATTAATTGGAAAATCACTGAGAGTTTATCACTAGGAAAAGGCCAGGATTCCATCGACTTCTAATTCCGGATACTTTATTTTCAAATCAAGTCTAATCCGAGTAGGTGACCTCGATCTTAGCTTTCTCTACAACGTTTGCCCACCCAGGATACTGATTTCCGTCAGTCTGCATCGTTTCTTCACTACACAATAGTGGGGTTATAAAAACCAATTGGAAAAAACTTACGATTGCTCTAGCCCAAAGACAAATGACATCGCCAGGTTGAAGGGTACGAACAAAGCGGTTTCCCGACCCGCTACCAGTATCTTCATTCTCTGATTTTGCTTGTTCGTGTTCCTTACCACCATCGCCATCTAGCATCCATACAATTTCATGAGTTTCGGTTTCTCCTACTGCAACCTTATTTTTCTGAACCGGCCAGATCAACATGTTCCCCTTTTCGTCTGCCGCGAAATCCCACCCGAATGGTCGATAGGCTTCAGAGTAACCGGCGTATGTTCTGTCAGGGACAGGAGGCTCCACATTGGGTGGCGGCTCTACCCCGGCGCCCGAACGATGTTTGCGACGGAGTATCGTTGCTTCAAACCATGAGAATGCGCCATGGTATGTTCCTAAATGGAATTTCATGTGAGGTCAGAAGACTGTCAATACCGGGATACTCGAGAATGTCGCAAACCTTGTGTGCCCGCTTCACCACCCCATCCCTGATCATGGCTAGCGATCTCAAATCTTACGGCCTTAATCCGCAGATCCCTTAGCTCGCCTCCGCTCTGCTTCAACTCTCTTATCTGAGGCCCTTTCAGAATCAACCCATACACCGCGGGACCATGTGAGCCGATTCTGTAACCAGCACGGGGGTTAAATGCATGTATGTCTTTCACAGAATAGTCGGCAAAGTCGAGGACTATGTCTGCAATCTCTGTAGGGAGAGCAGGGTGGGTTGCCTTGAGTATGGCGCGGACTTCCCCAACGTCAGCTGGGGAAGGGGAGTAGGTGGGAATATTTTCAGCCCTGGATTCATTGGGAGCATCGGGGGCAGTCCTGTTAGTTGGGCGAGCTGCGGTTTCGTGCGGTGCCGCAACAAGCATATCTGATAGGTTCACCATAAGTCTCCGAATAATAGCTGGCATTGTGAGGAAAAACAACCCTTATAATTTTGGTGGAAACAGAGAGCGCTTGGAAGAGAAGTAGTTAACTGGCGAAACGATTTAGCGCCTTAGACTGCTAAGAGGCGTTGGCCGATTGATAGTGTAGATAGCTGCAGAGCGTCGAGCGATCTGATCTCACTGACAAGAAGAATATATCAGTGTTCTTCTTAGAGAGTGTTTGTTCGGTATCTCGATACACATGCTGAATCATGACGATGTATGTTACTACCTTACGCCGTAAGGTCCTCGAGCTTAGTCAGCCAATCATAGTGGTCTGTTACATTTACACTAACTTAAGGTCTATTTGGCCCCTATAACTATAGTTACACGTCATAAATTGTCGTGCTTCCCGTTCGAAAAGTGTAATCCAGATGATTTAACAAATATGTATTCATTAATTCAGTGCGAACCGCGTTCTCTAAGCAGATACAAGTATCCAATGAATAAGTAACACCGTATCAGTTATCGATATATCATCCACCCCATAAATTCCGCCCCGTCAAAATTTCGCAAAATAAAATAATAATAATAGGGGAGTAAGCTTGACCCCGAGCACTCCCTTATTCGACTCCCCACCAGACTTGAGCTCCACAAATTTTCCCATTGCCATCTGAGGATTGTCCAGAGCGTCCATTGCAGGGTCATTGGGAAGGAGCCTAAACCTTCACCCTTCATACAATTTCCGAGCAGCTTCGTTCTGCGCCTCCGCCCAGAGACCTAGGTTTGCCCTTGTCGCGCGCGCATAGACATAGCTTCCGCCCACGCGTCCTCAACGCTTGCCTGGACAAGTTTGCGTCCCAGGCCTTGTCTCCGTGCCTCCGCTAGAACAAACATGGAACAGGCTACATAAGCAGCCTCGGAGGCCGCAATTGTTGCCGGATCTGGAGATTGGTTAATATTCGATGCGGCCATAAAAGAGTTCCATGGAGTTTTGGATTCGGATCCGTCCGCGGGCAGCGCTCTGGGCCCGAGGAGTACTATCATCCCCAGCCATTCATCTGCTGATAGCTGTTCTATCGCGCTAATTTCTGTGTCGCCTGTTGTTTCAGTGCGAACAACAACGAATGTTTTGGCCTGTGGGTTCTGGAGACGTTCAGCCCAGACTGTGTCGTCGAATTCTGATTCTTTGTCGTATGTCGAAGAGAATGCTTTGTGGGTCTTCTTTCAATGCACGGAGGCGGGCAGTTTTATATCGTTGGCAGAGTGCGCCCATAGATGATGATAGCAGCGCTTGAGGGATGCAGATAATTTTTGTTTGGGACGCCATTCCGCGAAGGCTTGGATGTAGATACGGATTCGTGATTTGAAGATAAAACGTTTTCGAAATGCTCTCCTCAATGACTGCCCAATGCGCCACTTCGTTTGAATTTTCGAGCTGGGGCCAGTTTCCCATCTATCCCCAAGGACAAGGGTCACATGCCTCAACTAAATAAATACGGAGAGCCCCTTACGTTGAGTCATTAGTTAGACCGGTAACCCAAAAAAACGACGTGCGCGCCGTGGGATATGCGCCTGGAGGCTGAGATCCCTTAAAGTCTCTGCATTGGTTCTGGCTAAATATTTGTTCAGTCGCCGGGGGGGCTATAAAGTTGGCATATTCATTCAAGGCTTTCGTGGATATTCTTCTGTAGGGAGGTAGTGCTGATAGTCATTTTCAGCTACAGCTCCGTCGAGGTAAAGAGCGGAACCCACAGCAGCTAGGAAGAACGAGGAGCTTTTGACAGCAATTTAACCTTTGGAACCAATGCTCTGTGTTTAGATCGACATGTCATATTAAACTGGATCATTTAACTTCCTTCCGGAATGTGGTTGAAATAAGTCACCCAAAAGGGTAAGTTAACTAAACAAAATGAATTTGGACTTCTCATCTGACTGTCCCGAGCCAACAACGACATGACTCTGTTCACGAGTCAGTCAGCTATCCCCCGGCCGGGTTCCTCTGCACGCTCCCGTGGCCGCCGCGGTGCCGAGCGAGACGCCAAGTGAACCGCAGCTGACGATCCGTCCGGGGTTGATGTGGTGTGGTGTGTGTTAGCTCGGGGACAGCGCCGTGTGAGTGGTCACGAGCGAGTAGCGCACGCGCCCAGGCAGTGCAAGCTCCTGGTGAGAGCCTTGTTGTATGTTTTCAGCGTCCCAAGATTTCATAAATATACGCGGCGTATACGTGGAACTCCTCACAAAGGTGACTTGTTTAGAGCTTTAAGATTACCCGCGTTGAATTGCGGAATCTGTCAGTGTATATATATATGTACAGAAATAGTTAATATGACAACACCAAGACCTACCACCAACACGACCAACACCAACGACCACAACAGAGACAACTCCACTAGCCCTAACAATGCTCCACTCCAAGGGGTTGCAAAGGACTACTATTCGAGCGTCACCAGCAGCAGGCCACAGTTATGGGAATCCTTTCGAAACCTTGATAACGCTATCCATTTTGCGGAATGTCAGGGCTGTTTAGTAGACGAAGCAACTCAGAATTTCGTTGTCGATTTCGGCGACGATGAAGCATATGCAGCTTTTGATCTCGAGGAGGAGGACTTTGCTGCGCTGCTGAGTTCGAAGGTATGTATGCTCATTCCCCACCTTCTTAGATTCTCCTTACCATTATCTAGGCATCGGCGTGCTATGTTATATGAAGGCTAACTTGAACTGATCCGTGGAATATAGAGACCCAAATCTTTAGAAACGAGATGGATGTAAGTTTGATAACATCGAGGATCTTTTTGATTCTATGGCTAAATGTGTTATCGTAGTAATATATGGTCACCCGAACGTCAACCGGAGCTTGTCCAGGTATGTCAAACTAGATAAGATTTATCTTAGCAGAAATTGATGTTCGAATAAAGACTGATCTGCTTCCCCTAGACTGTAGCCAGCAACTACAAAGTTTCTGCCCGCCTCCAAGCGATGATGGTTTCAGAGCCCGTCATTCCTTCACAAGAAATTTCCGCAGTTTCTCCGAAGCTCACATCCATCGACACGGATGAGCCAGAGTTAGAACCGGAAGGAAAGTCTTTGCCGGCTTCCGTGGCAGATCTAGAGGGAGGATATCAGCTAGGGGGTGTCCAGCAGGCGGGAAAGGCACTCTCTTCCCTCGATGGAACGGGGTTTAGCAAAATTTCTCTTTCCCAAATTGTTAATAAGATATGGCATTTTTCGTCGGTGGACTACGGAGAGAAATGTATGGACTTGACAAGACCTCCTTTGTATCTGGTGTTACGATTTTCTCACCCATTGGTGCATACTGATGATAAGACGATTGATTAGATCTCTGTTTGGGTTATAACTCGCTACATGTCGTTTCAGGGCTTGATCTCAGGAACTCTGCAGGTAAACCGGACGGTAAAAGAGTTTGGACTTGGCTCCTGATATGCGACGATGGTTTGTTTTGGTTTTCCCTATTCTGTATTCTACCGTTCTTACTTCCTAACTCCTAAACTAACCTCTATACAAATTTAGGAACTGTAATATCAATTCATGAAACCCCATTTCCTGGCCCGAGTGGTTTGGCTCCAGGAGAACGGCAGAAAGCTGTTGAGGTCATTCGACGAAACACCAATTTGGTATTCTCCGCAATATCCTCGCAGCACATTGCTAGCGAACGTGGCAACGCGCTCATAACTACGTATGTGAGGAATTTCCCGAACGAGACCGGCACGGCAGCAATTAAACCCGGAGAAGGCGCCAGCTTACTATTCTATTACCTATTTGATAACTGGCCTGCGAACTATAACCTGGTTATCGGGCGGGAACATTCTTATAATGCAGCGCTTGATAAACTAGTGAGTGGAACTTAAATTATAGTTACCTTCCGCTGCGAAGGCAATTCATATGCCTACGTCCATTGGCGGCTAATGTTTAGGAAATATAGCGAAGACGCATGCTCGAGCGAGCACAGGTGCAGTTAATTGACGACCTGCACAGACTAGGGAGGCAGCTCGCCGTCCTTAAACGCATTTATCAGAGCTATGATTTGATTGTCAACCGTGTCCTCAAACGGCAGCGTCTGCTTCGAGAGGAGATTCGGAACTCTCAGCCCGCAAACATGCACCATCCTCCTCACCAGCGGGGCGGCCATTTCGGTCTCGACTTACTGAGCAGGGGGAACTCATGGAGACCCAACGGGTTTGACGAGATTAATCCGAGTGAACTGGGTGGCATCCAGCTTAGCTCTGCTGCTGTTGGCCGATTTGAACGACTACTTGATCGAATCAGGCTGTACGCCTTGAGTGAAATCGATGAGTGTCTGGCCGAGAAGGAATCGATGACGTTTATGGTATGATTTGCTCCCCATCTGGAGGCGTTTACTCTAATTCTAGCATTTCCATTTGTGCTAATTTCAATATTTTCCAGGTGTTCAATTTAATCGCCGTCAAAGATTCACAGGCGGTCGAAAGGTTGACTCGAACTACGATTCTCATAGCTAAAGCGACCATTTTCTTCCTGCCAGTCACTCTGATGACTGGGTACTTTTCGACGGAGATCGAGGAGCTCCAGGGTGTGTACACGGTGAAACAATATTGGATTGCATTTGCGGTGCTTCTGGTGCTGTCAGCGTTAGTTCTCGTGATATATGGATGGGCCACTGATACAGTTGAGGGCAAGACAATTTATGTATCCTTTGCAAAGAGTTTCTACCGCGCTTCTGTAGCGGCCTTTGGGAAAAGGAGGAAGCGCAAAGTTGGATAGAGATGAATTGGTCATGATTCCTTCCAAGTTTCAATTGATGGCGATCGGGGCTGACATGGGATTCTGCGCGTCTCCTCAGGCCGCGTATCCTGCATAACTAAAGCAAGTGGACTTCAGCACTCTGGATTGCTTCCCAAGGTTTACCATGTTCGTTCTGTGCATGTGGAACGCATGGCGGAAACCTTAAAAAACAACCTGCTACCGCATTCTGGAGAATTGCTGGGCTGCTTCATTCACTCTGTACAGGCAAAGTACGGAGTACAGCAGCCTATATATGACATTTGGGTCATATGGATATATTTTTATGTGGAATTAAGCTTTACGCTGAAAAACATTCAAAAAAATCAATTTGACCCAAATGTCACTATAGGCTGCCGTACAAAATAGCAATATATTTGTACATGTACACACATATGGATGTTCAGACATGCAGCTTTTGTTCTATTATGTTATAATTTTTGCTTCTTGAAGACTAGAATTGTAGGAATTCTGTAGCCTCTAGAGCTGTTGTTACCTGGCATATGTATCCAGCTGGTTCCTGAGAGGAACTATCGAGGGGATATGTGTCCTCTTCTATGGGGCCCGAGCATGGCAGAACCAGGCAGACGCAATCGAAGGTAAATATAAGAAGCACGCAGCAGGGTCAACGTTTCCCATCAAAATACAACAACAGTCGAGATCAAGTAAATTTATCATCCCAAGCACCAAGCCCGTATTGACTGTTAGTTGAGGAGTTTATTATTTACTCTTGCAAGTCCATCGTTCGACAAATCGTTGGGGGGGTTCGAGGCTTAGGTCACGTTATCTGGGTGACAAATTAACCACCGAATTCCTCGTGCTGCCAAAAATTCCACACATCCCATCCATCTCGTGGACCTCCGCAACCTCATCCCTCATCGACTCCTGACTTGTTCCATCTCCATCTCGTCCGCCCGTCTTTCCTCCGCGCCCATCTCTTAATATCCCGTGAGTCTCAATGCCCCCCTCCCCTCTTTGGCCGTGGTTGTGTCCTCCTTTCTGTTGGGCAGCACATGCTTCCCTGCGCCGGACGACTATCTCTTCTCATTGCCCCAGCCCTTACCAAACCCCATATTGCTGCCTATCTACTCTCTTGATAAGCTCAAGAGCCCCTATTCAACTACAGTACCTGTTGCACCAGTTGCAATGTTCATTTTGAAGACATTTCGCTAACTCGTTACCCACTCTCGTGTCCCCCTTAACGGTAGTTTTCTCTAATCCCTCTCCCCACTCAATACCGCCAAGATGGGTATGGCATTTTCGAAACTGTTCGATAGAATATGGGGAAAAAAGGAAATGAGAATTCTCATGGTTGGTCTTGATGCTGCTGGAAAGACCACCATCTTGTACAAACTGAAACTCGGTGAAATCGTCACAACCATCCCTACCATCGGTGAGTTCTTCGATTCCGAACCCGACCACCAACCCTTGCCCCCTGGAAACGCCTGTGATGACGCCTGTGATGACGCCTATGGGGAAAAAGAAAGCCAAAACCCAATCACAATGCGTAGAGGGATATGGGCAACCAACGATTCTTCACCTCCTTAACAATACCAATTCTGGTGCTAATGTTCCACCCCAACTGCGTCCAGGATTCAACGTCGAGACTGTCGAATATAAGAACATTCAATTTACCGTGTGGGACGTCGGTGGACAAGACAAGATCCGGCCTTTGTGGAGGCACTACTTCCAAAATACCCAGGGTATCATTTTCGTGGTTGATAGCAATGATCGTGACCGTGTTGTCGAGGCTCGGGAGGAGTTGCAGCGCATGCTGAACGAGGATGAACTACGCGACGCCCTACTTCTGGTCTTCGCTAACAAACAAGATCTCCCGGTGCGCCCCTTACTGTTCTTTCTTTACGTGTATTTGTTGCTTTGATATGTTAATAAATGTCTCGCTTGATAGAACGCTATGAGCCCAGCCGAGATCACCCAACAGCTCGGCCTACAGAGCTTGACACGACGCGCATGGGTAAGCAAACGTCCCAATTCCGAATATTTCCGCGATGCAAAAATGACCATCTACTAACCGTTCGCGTCTTTACTTATCAGTACATTCAATCTACCTGTGCTACGACTGGCGATGGTCTTTATGAAGGCCTGGAGTGGTTGGCCAATGCGTTGAAGAAGGCGGGTCATGAGTAAATGTTGAAACATGAATTGATGTGGAAGTAATCCAAACAAACCTCTTCCTCCCTTTTTTAGCCGCCCCGCTCTTCGTTCCCCCCCCCCCTTGTCCCCCCTATCTCCACCTCTTCAATATACCTGGTAAAAATAAAAATATGCGTTGTTTGTTCCATTGGGTGGTGCAAGCAGGTTCAAAAATATCACATGGGCTTGTTGACATGTTCTGAGAGAGGGACTTTGAAAGGGAAAAACACATAAAAAAGAAAAAGAAAAAAAAAAAAAGAAAAAAAAAAAAACAGAACGAGATCACTTTTTTTCCCCCCCAACCTTTGCTTTCTTACTGGAGTCTTTTCTTTTGCTGTTGTTTCTCTTTTTTTGTTTTTTCTCTCTGGCTTGTTGCATCCATCCCCCCCCTTCCACCTCCCCCGCGGGTCTGCTAATCATGTCACTATGCGCATACATCTTCAGCTCTTTGTGCCCCTCCCCCCTTGACTTCATGTTCTTTTTTTTTACTATTTATCATTATTAACTCGCCTGTTTCCTCTTTTATTGTTTTAAAGTAACTATATTATCTCAAACTTTCTACTTCGGTTCCTCTTTTTTCCTTTTCCATTCCTTATCTCGTCCTCGTACACTGTTGACCTGCTGCATTTTGGTTGCGTTGGTAGCTTTGCTTTACGCGTCCATCCGTCTCTCCATCGATATCTCCATGCATGCATCGCCATCTTTCGATATAGAAGTATGTGCGTGTGTGCCCCTTACGAAAATCAATTAAAGGGTTCATCTCTCCCTCTTCCCGCTGTATTGGCTCGATTTGCCCAGATAAAATAGCATAGGATAAGGGCCTTGGTGTGTGGCTACGTAGGAAATTCGTGCTCTGCTCGTCCGGCCCCGGCTAGCCTGCCTTTGATTTTGATATCACTACTCACCTCACTTCAGCCTTCAGCCCACGGGTAGTAAAAGGGAGAAAGAGAGGCGTCGCGCATCCTGCCCACACCCCCCCCCCCCTCGCATTTTTTTATATTCTTTTTTTTTAACACTTTGACGTGAGATATGTAGATGTCATTTCGTCCGTCAGATGGTTCTCTTTTTCGGTTCTATCTCTTGCACCAGTGCGCTGCCACTTTCTTCTCTTGTCATTCCCCTTTCTTCTCCAATATTTATTTATTCCTGTGCTCTTTCTTCTCGTACATTAAGACTCCTGCCGCTTTGCTTCCACTTTCACATCGCATGTTACTCCTCCATGGTAGAGAGATGGAGGGAAGTGGAATGTGAAGAGTAGAGTAGAGTAGAGTACTTGTAGTGAGGAAGGGAGGTGTGTTCTACCCGTTCCATCCCATCCCATTCTGCAGAAGTTGCAGGTTATGCAACTGTGCAAAAGGGAAAGTATCGGAGTACTCCTTTGCAACTTCACAAATATAGCAAAATATAGCTTTGACTTTTGCTTTCGATTTTCAATTGCAATTTCCCACGTTAAATTATTCCCATTCATTGACTTAACTAAAACATTGACAAACGGACAAAATAAAAATGGTAGATTAAAAGGCAGAAAAGGGGGCAAGAAAATCCCAAAACACGGAGTGGGCGTGAGAGGGTATTTCCTGATTCATCCATCCGTCCATCCATCCAGCCATCCTCTAAACAATTAAGAAACGCACAACAAAAAGAAAAAGATATTAGCCACCGTAAAGAGCCTTTCCAGACGCCCCATTCTCATTTAAAACAATAGAACAAAAGAAGAAGAAACCCACCTGGAAGAGGGGAAACAGGCGGGGGTTAACAAGCTTAGTGCCAGCGGGAAAAAAATGGGAAGCAGAATTAGAGGGGGGGGGGAGGGAAGATTAAAGAAATCGTTGAAGATTGTATGAAGAATTTGCGAAACACAGAAAGAGACAATGGAGTAAAAAAGAAGGGAAAAGCGCCTACCAGCATTTTAAATAGCAGAAGAGCGTTTTTCTCCAATTTACACTACTGCTGATTGAATTGGAGGGAGTCATTAATTTCTTTTATAAACTTGTTGCTGCTAGGAGACTTTCGCGCACGCTGTCCTAGCTGGAAAACAAATAAGAAAAAAGATTGAAACAACTTAGCACTTGGTATTTTGTTCTTTCAATGAGTGTAGGGGGCACTTGAGTGTTGAGTGTTGTTCCAGAGTTGTCTTGTGTTGGCTGCGCGGTGTCCATCTCATTTCTATAGAGGGTGAGATGAAAGACAAACCAATGACAATAAATTATATGCTGAGCCATCATTTTCCTTTGTGTCTACACTCTAGGCGAAATATGAGGTTTACCCTCCCCCAGACTGAACCTGGGGTGGGGAGAAGAAAATAAATACCATTTTCGCGGTTGCTCTGGTTCATGCCCCTCCCATGGGAAACCCGGGCATGTCGCACGTCGCGGATCCTGAAGCTGAAGCCTGACTTGCATTTGCGTTAAGCTCAGTAGAGTAGGAGGACCATACCTGGTCTGTTCTCACACCGTCACTTTCCGCTTCACTGCTCTCCTGCTGCTGCTTCTGCCGCTGCTGGTATTCCTGCTCATGAACCGTTGCTGGTGTGATGCCGTTGTTCGGGTCGAATTTGCGTAAATCAATCCCGCTAATCCACCACGACGCGGCGTAGATGATCTGAGTCACGCAGCGTAGTTCTTCCACGGTGCGCGGGGAGTAGATTAGGACGAAAGTGGGCGGGACGAACCGGAATCTCCACCACCAGCTTTCCCGAGCTAAGGGGTGGCGCTCACCCCAGCCTTTTTCGATGATGGTTTTGACGTCTGCTGGGTGGAGGGTGAGGTGCATGCTACCGTCGTACGCATGGGAATGGCAGATTTCGCCGTTGCATGTCAGGTGGCTTTGGCATCTAGGAAGGGAGAAGAGGCCCGTGTTGTGTTTTTCGAAGCGGGAGACCCCCAGGAATAAGCTGTCTGGGTGCCGGAGAGATAGCTCTTTAATTGTTGCGGTCAAGGCGGCATATATGGCCTTCGGGCCCCGGTCAGTCATCTGCCGCTGCGGAGCAATCCCAACAACTTCTGGGCGGCTGCCGATTCGCTTGGGTAGGTCATTGAGGATCCCGCTTTGTGGATGAATGTATGATGGGATATGGGGAGGGTTCAGGGGATTACGCAAGGTAAAGATGCGCAAGACGCAGATGCGAAGATAGCCAGCAGGAGTGGATGGGGTCCCACCAGGCCCAAGCGCAAGGAAATCATGATATCCCTTCCGGACCTTTCGGGCAAATGTAGCCAGGCAGAGCGCCACGAGAGTGAATAGGGTAATGGTTGGAATAGAAGATGCAAGTGGTGGATCTTGCCAGGAGAGAGTGGTAGACTGTTGCTTTGCATGTATGTGAGTTGTTGAATGCGGTTGTGCAGTGTATATAAAGCAAATCTCAGGGAGTAAACACACCATTTTGTGACAAGTTTCAGCAACAAAGCAGAGATGAGAGAAAAATTGTCTTTTAAACTATTTATTACCCACAGTTCAATGGCACACTGCTAGGAAGACAGTCCGCAGCAGAAAATGAGCGGCTTGAATGTAATGAAAGGAGCTTGTGGTTTGAAAAAAGAAGTCTAGGGTGTGAGAGGTTAGGGAGAAAAGGAGAGAAAAACGAGTGTCTTCAAGAGGAGGAGGAGGAGGAAAGTCTTTAGGAGGGAAACAGGAGCAACACACGGAGCGGGACAAGGGTGAAGAGGTGTACCTAGGGTATTATTTATTCGACCTTGCTGCTGTGTTGTCTGTCGCAGTGTATAGCTTTGTGCTAATTCTCAAGTGACTGCAGCGGAGATTTCACCGTGCGTTCCTGGGACCGGAGCCGATGAATGTGGCAGCTGCCATGTAACCCGTCAACGAACTAGCGCAACAGCGGAAGCGACTCTCCAGGCAAACTGTTGGCCTTGGATGGATTCCCAGGTATTCACGATGCGTGCCAGTCAGAATTCACCCAGAGGAGGAACACATGCCACAGCTCTCAGGACGGGAATTATGTCTCTCATTCGAGCCACATCTATACATGCTGCACCGGGTATGTTACGAGGTAGAAATAAAATGAACTTGGGGCACTTTTGTTCAAAACTGATGATGTTCATAAGAATAGGAAGATGACCCGGCTTTTGAGCCGAGCGACGGTGAGCTGGTTGCTCATGGGACCTATCGTTGTTTGCGGCTGCTCATTCAGCTCGCAGGAGAAAATGGAGCTATCGTCAGACTTGCATCATTATGCCAGAGGGAGGGGAGCTCTGGGCCATGCTGGCCGCTGGATGCCAGTGGTTGGGATGGCAAGCCTGTGGGGGAAACAAACCTAGTGTTGAATTTTGGAAACCCTATTCCGTTCCTATTCGCCCGCTTCCCGCGCCAGGCATACTGTGTACATACGTCGATGATCGGTGAAGCCCTCTAACAGAAGAGGAAAGACAAAATACGCAGATTTCGAGGAAAGCTGCCGATCGTCGTGTGTGCACATACAGTATTCTATGTACAGCAGTGGTTCTACGGAGGGGAGAGGGGAGTGGGCCTGCATCGTCGCAAGTCCTCCAGCGATGAAGAGCGACGGCTCGGGTTCCCGAGCTTATCAAAAGGCTGCTTTCCTCTCTCGTCTGTGTAATATTTAACTACTGTACAGAGGATCCTCTCAAAAGTTTTGATTAGCGCTAAGAAGTTAAGCTGTAACTACACAGTAATAATAATACTGTTACCATTCAAGGATCTTCATTCGAGAGCAGGAGACTTAGACTAGCTTTAGTTAAACAGTAGCTGGTTTATTCAGGTGCAACAGGCATTAACAACCCCCCCCCTTAAAACTCTAGTTAAGAGAGGAAATGTAAATACTTAACAGAGTTACAGCTTAAATTCTTAGTGGTAGTGGTGGCCTTGGCCTGCATCTCGGAGAGGACGGTCTAGGCCCGTATCTCGAAAATAACATTTTCTATCTCGTTATACACCTGCAACAATGTAGTATATATATCCATGGGTATAGATTCCACGCCACTGCGATAGTTACCTTTGATTGAATGTTCTGAACGCTAATGCTTAACAGAAATCTTGGCATCAGATGACATCATCGCAGAGGCAGTTTCTACTTCTCCAAGATAATAGCTAATTCATATCTCTAGTAGAGAACAGCCCTTTCTCTCTTTTCTTGAGACTTAACCTATGACGAGGAATATCTCCAAGAATCTATTTTGCTCCATGTTTACTCCTGGTCCTAGGAGCCTAATTTTCTTGTGCACTAAAAACGAAAAGGGGTATGGAAAAAATATCAGCTATTTTATATCTTGATAGCTGGTCATTCTACCAGTGGCTTGATTTGCACACTCTTGTCTCCATTTTTGGTTTATGACAAATGAAACATAATGTGTTATTATGTCATCCACACTGAAACAAAACAAGGGGGAATCCATTCAGAGTTGGCTGGAGAAGCCGGCAGATTCACTACCAGTGCATGATATTCCCCATACAAGGTCCCAGAGGCGCAGAAAAAAGCCATTTCCACGAATCACAAAACGCGCCAGGCCATGCGTAGATCAGTGTAACAGAAGGGACGAGTTAAAAGGCTAATTTGAAGACATGGGGATGAGTGGAGCAGGTGGTACCAGGCGCGGGGAAAGGAAAATTAAGTCATGTACAATTTGAAGGAGAGTATAAGGACTGACCATGGAGCGGATGGTAAACTTAGTTCTCACACTACGGAATCCAAACACCCATCGTCCAATATTGCAGTCCGCCGCCAACGCCTTCACGTCAGTTTGGCAACTCCTGAAGTGCATTTCGTGCCGTTTGGAGTAGAGAATGTTTATTTCCCGTGGCTGGCGGGGAATATATTGTCGCCTCTAGCGGAGGGGCCTGCCTGGGGCCGTTGACGGCGCGAATGACAACGAAAGGCGACGTAGGAGGTTACAGCGGAGTTGCTGAATCGTTCTTTTCCTTATGATAGGCACTTTCAGGCAATGGGACTGGCAGGTGGGGGGTGAGTTTGCAGATAAAAGGGGGTGAGGAGTAGAGCAGAGCGTGTTATAACAGGGGCATGTATGTACTATCCATAATAGGATGCGCAGCAGCAATTATTATAACAATGCTATGAAATCAGGGCCTGCATGTTTGATGCTGACAGGCCTGAAGACAATATCAGTGGTGGTATGCAGACCATTTTGTCATTCTCAAGGAGGGGAAACGTTCTCTAACTACTCCGTATACTTATAAAGTAGGAGAGGTTGAATTGTTTGATGCACAGAATAATCATAAAACCAGATACAACACGCCATACCAGATATGGGATCTATTAACTCATAGCTGTTAGAAGTGCAGCCATACACATAGTGAACATGCAACACTGCAAGTTGAAACCGTTGCTCGATTGTTGCTATGGTGATTAAACTATGCACTATACTTTATTTGGATCGACGGGTGGATCCATAACTTTAAATTACGTCTCGTGATTGGCTGATATTCCTGGATAAATTGCTTTTTCAGAGGGTCCATCCAGGGTACTTCGCGGCCCATACAGGACGCCATACAGTTCGAGGTTTCTTCAATTCTGGCGTCCGTACTCCGTACACAACCCCCTGCGACGCTGGATTCTCGAAGATGCTTGTGCAATTTTCACCTCTTTAAGGCTGTGTTTTCATATCAGATACCTCCGCTATATGCTCCCTGTTCTCGTCTTGATTTGTTATGAACCGAATGCTCTTATCGGATCATACTGGGGACGCTCTTTTCTAAAAAGAGGTTTTTTCGTTTCCCGCTCCCCCCTTCAAGGTCGCGTAAGTCTAATATTGTTGGCAAGCTCTCAGTAATCATCCCTACGCAAGCGCCTGAGACGAACCTCTGGACGCCGCGATTCCAGCACCTTGATTGATCTCTTACTTCTCTCTCGTCTTCCCTCAATTCCCTGTGCCTGGTTTGATGTCATGGTCCGCGCCGCAGAGCCAATGACACGCCGGGTGGCAGCCTCCCAGTTCCGCGACGACATTACCCAATGTCCCAAGCTGGAAATAGACACAGAGAAACAGGACTATGCCTACTCATCACGAGATACATCCCTAGACCATGATGAAGACTCCCGCACCTATCTCAAGTCTCCTTATGACACAGCGATCTCCTCAAACCCCATACTAGGCAAGCCTACACAGCCGTCGAAACGGAAGCGGAGATACCAATTCTACAGAGTACCACATTCTATTATGCGATGGATATGTTTGGGAGTGTTCATGAGCTTGCTATTGTTCATCGCGTTTCTGTTTCGCTTCACTATTTCCGGCTCCTCGTTTAGAGCGGTTCCGCTAGAACTGTCCAGACCGAAACCCAGGCCACCACAGTGGGAGAGCTTTCCGTTCCTGAGCAGATATTATGGTGGGATAAGGACGCTTGTATCAAGGCAGGATAACATCCCTGAATACCCTGGCGATGGAACTGTGGAGAAAATTATGGATTCCCCATCATATGGAAAGGAAGGGAACGATAAGTCGGATAAGAGATCTGAGGCCAAGAAGAGCTTGGTCTTCAACCCTTATCCTGATTACAAATCTGAAAGCTACGTTAAGAAATATGGCGTTAAGAATGACTGCTTTTTGGATGCGGATACGAAGACGTCGATCCCACCTGTTCGACATTTTCCGGGAATTCCCAAAGGCTTTCCCGATGCTGCGATGGGATCAAATAAGCTGCTAGGCATAAATGATGATGTTTGCTTTGAACGATTTGGTCGACTAGGTCCGTACGGCCTAGGCTATGGCATTGCCGCGGGAGGCACGGGTGGTGGCCTCGAAGGTGACAGATCTGGGATCGACGAAGTATGGAAGGAAATCCCCGCAGTTGATTTCCGGACAGTCAAATGGAGCGAAGCACAAGAGCGCTGTATTGCTGCAAACAGTCACCGATTCCCCAAGCTTGGACCCCCGAGAGTTGATCGTTTTGGGGCTATGAAAGTCGGCACCTTGCATGCAAGAGCCGAGACCGTAGGAAGCACCCCCCTAGGAGAAAATAAAGATAGCGCGTCTACTGTGGCTGCGGCGAACGACACATTAACTCTACCACGATCTGCTATGCTTATTCGAACATGGAGCGACTACCAATATAACGAGGAATCCATCATGTATCTTCGTTCGCTCATCTCGGAATTATCCTTAATGTCTGGAGGAGAATATATTGTTCATTTCCTGATCCATGTGAAAGATGACAACCTGCAAATCTGGTCGGACGATGATACCTATGATCGCGTTCTGAAGAATGCCTTGCCGGCTGAATTCCGCGGAATGGGCACCTTGTGGTCGGAAAGACAAATGGGGTTATTATATGGCGGCCTTCAAGAGACTTTTGCACGGGACCTCCCCGTCCATGGTGTCTATAGAAGCACCTTCATGCCTGTCCAATGGTTTTCACACCAACACCCAGAATATGACTTCATCTGGAACTGGGAAATGGATGCCCGGTACACGGGCCACTGGTATCACCTCTTCAGCCAAGTGAGTGAGTGGGCGAAACAGCAACCACGAAAGGGCCTCTGGGAGCGCAATGCACGATTCTACGTTCCATCAGTTCATGGATCCTGGGAAGATTTCCGCCAAATGATCCGCGTGCAAACCGAGATTGGAACAGACAATCCCAATAATATGTGGGCGACTCCCCAGGACAAAAACCGCCCGAATGGGCAGCCAGAGGCCAAGGGAGACAAGCCCATCTGGGGCCCAGAACGACCACACGAGCAGGATGTCATAGAGACGGACGGTGAAGGTATCCCCCCTACCACGTACGAGAAAGACAAATACCAGTGGGGTGTGGGGGAAGACGCCGACCTGATCGTCTTCAACCCAATTTACGATCCCGAAGGCACAACCTGGCTCCTCCGCGACGATGTGACTGGATACAATAAATCAGAGGGCATGCCGCCGCGCCGAGCAGCTATTATCACCTCCGCACGCCTCTCACGAAAACTCCTCGCCACAATGCACCGCGAGACCAGCATAAAGCGCCACACGATGTTTTCAGAAATGTGGCCAGCGACTGCTGCGCTCCATCATGGCCTGAAGGCCGTCTTTGCACCCCACCCTGTGTACATTGACCGCCGCTGGCCTACCAAGTATCTGGAAGCAACGTTCAACGCGGGCCGCAATGGCGCGACGGGCGGGTCTAGGATATCTGTATTTGGCGACAGGGAGCATAATTTTAGAGGTACGACTTGGTTCTATTCTGCGGGCCATTCGCCAAATTTGTGGCGCCGTTGGTTCGGATACAGAGTCGATGGCAGGGGTGGGGAGGAGTATGAGCTTGCGACTGAGGGGAGGATGTGTTTGCCGCCTATGTTGTTACATCCGATTAAGGAGCTCGAGATGATTATTGAGAGCGTGGATCGTTGATAGTATCTACTCGATTTTTTATTTGTTTTCTTTTCTTTTCTTTTCTCTTTTCTATATTTGTGCATGGTACGGTGTGTTGTATGGCTTTCATTTTCATTTGCTTTTCTTTGTTTCTTTTCCTTTTTCTGAGTCCTCCCTTTATATTTGTGATATATGCACTTTTTACCATCGTCAATTCCCCCACTCCATGCCTTTGACATTTATCTCCGTCTAACCCCTTCACTTTGGTCTATTTCCTCCCGAATATTCTTGTGCTTTCTTATCTCCTCCTGAGCAGCATTGTTTCCCGTTATTCTCCTATGGAATTGATATGTTTTCACTCAGATACACATGATGGAACTAATCAAACCGCGACTGATGCCCCTCCACATGCATGAGATACGACCCTGCCTTCTGTTTTTTTCTCTTTGCCCCAGATAGACGATAATGATAGATGATGGATGCAAAGATTGTATGTTCATGTATGATATTTAATGGCGGATCGGATGAAGCCTTGTTCTCCTGTTCATATCTGTTCCTTGATATGGTGGTGGGTTTTTAACCCCAGTCCCCTATCTCGCAGAGACTCGCCTGCTTGTATATATATATATCGGGCTTCTTATGTTACATTTTGCGGCTACCAGCTTCCCTCAGCAAAAATTCTTTGGATATCAAGTGAAACATTTGAATTGACCAATTCTCAATCATCCTTTATTGACATGACATCAGCTATAGAAAGGAGTCCTGGAAAATGATATATATGTAAATAAATAAATATGTAAATAAATAAGAAAAACCACATTTTAAGTATCGTCTTTCAATCTAATGGTTAAGATCTAATTGTAATGAAAAGGTCCGGGATGAGCCCGCCGTATATCCTATTCTACCTCCACGAATCTCTGTCTATCCAGTATCAGTTCCTTTTTCTCCAAAAGTCTAGAGGGCCCGCCTCCAAAATCCTTATTCAATTTGTTATACAAATTCCCGACAGTAGTGGTCTCCGTACACCCTAAAATGAAATTAAAGATAGAAACGAACGTATCCGCAGCCTTCTCTGTTGCACTCTCATCCATAAATCTCGGGTCGTACTGGAATTTCGTTTTGTAACCCGTGGGCGATTTAAACACCTCGCACATGAGGGAATAGTTGAAGAACATTCTATTCTGGCTCACACCCATGACGATCCAGCGCATATGGGCGTCGAGAGTTTTAGGTGGGGGGTCGAAGGGCTGGAAGCAGAATATGGTCTTTGCACCGCATTTGCTCCGATCAACACCGAGCGCTTTGTAGATATCTGCAAGCCCGACCATCCCGTTTTCGGTAGTCTCCCAGAAAAGCATCTGGGTATCATGCAGGAGAGTTCGGAGAGTTTTGCCCTGTTGGAAACGAGTGCGGAATGGGAGGAAATTGGCGCAGTTGCCATTGATTAATTGCGGGTTGTCGAGATTGACGTTACGCCCGGTTAGTAGGTTGTCATATGTGACGTCGAAGCTGCTGCTTAGGAATGAAAGAAGTATTCCCCAGGCTGTTTGGAAGACGATAGGTACAGTTATTCCGGAGCTGTGGGCGAAGTCATTGACCTCTATTCCGAAGGCTCTGAAAAGCATTCCTCCAACTTTAGGCTTGAGTGATTGACTGGAGTAGTCAAATCTATTCCCGTCAAGTAAATCCACCCAGAATTTGAGCATTTTTTCCGTGTCGCTGGTTGAGCAGTATCTGATGAGCTCCGTAAACTCGGTTGGTTTTGGAACTTCCTCATTTTTCACCATTGCGATGAACTGATCGTCAAATATTCGAAGTAATGTGCCGTCGTACATTGCATGGTCCATTTTGATGTACAAGTCTAGGGTGCCATCCATCGTTGACCTTAAGATTCGGTACTGAATGAAAGGTTTTCCTACTTTGAAACGGCCATCCCACAGGGTATTAATCATGCGCTCTCTGTCTTCAGGGGTGTCGTAACATATAGTTTCCAAATCTAGAATGGCCTCCTTTAGAATAACTTGTACCCATTTCGGAAGCTCCTCCTTTTTCACACTTTTGACGAACATGGCACGTAGAATCGCGTTCTTCTCCGTTAGTTTCCGCACCAGATCCAGCCACCGCTCAACATCGAAGTCAGATGGGACGCGTCTTACTGTTTGAAGTTGCCAGAATTGGTCATCGGTATGGCCTTGTGTTAGAAACTCAACCTGGCCAGGGACGCAGGGGTAAATGGCTTCAATATCATTCTGGTCAACACCAGACTGATGCAGCGTGTCATATATGTCATCTTCAATTTCGTACGCATGAGGGAAAGCAGGGAGGCTACAATTTGTCGCTGGTAAAGGCCGCATAACTCGAGCTTGCTCTTTGATAGAAGGAAATGACAACACATCGGCAACAGCTAGCTCATATCCAAGCTTGCGACACTCACTTACGAGATTAATAGCAGTGATCGAGTCGCCACCAAGAGAGTAGAAGCTGGACGTAGTCCCGAAAGAATCAAGATCACACTTGAATATGGAAGCCCAGGCATTTCGCAACAATCGTTCCTCGGCAGATTCGGGAGCTGATAAATCCGACGCTCCCTTAACAGCGGCAAATTGCACGTCTTGGTAACTTGCTACCAATGAATCTTCCATTGATTCGACGAGTTTTAATATCTCTTTTCGATTGGTTTTGCCCGAAGGGAGAAGAGGAAGATATGTAACAGGAAGCCAAACGGCTGGGATCATATAGCGTGCAAGAGTACCCATCTTTGTTTGCAACTCCTGGAAGGGGTATGCTTCTGAAGGGGGCAATAGGGGTGTGGTGTATCTTCCGATATCGCCGGGAGCTTCTGAGAGGAGTTGACAAACAGCGGCAAGTTGAGTCTTCCCGTGTATTTTCGCCGCGAGAACCACGCAAGTTTTCAACATGCCGGTCCTAAGGATTGCATTCTCGATTTCTCCGAGTTCGATACGGTAGCCGTTGACTTTGACTTGGTTGTCCCTTCGGCCAAACAGCTCGATTTGGCCGCTAGGGAGCTGACGAGCAACATCTCCAGTACGATAGATTCGAGATCCATCATTTCCAACAGAAAATGCCGTATTATCCACATCGGACCCGTCTAGATAGCCGCGCGCTACCTGAGGCCCACCTAGACAGAACTCACCTACCTCTCCCAAGGCCACTGGAGTCTCTGAATCAAACTCCAAGATGGACACGATCGTGGTAGACAGTGCCGTGCCAATATTATTGATTTTGCTATTTGGTTCGATAAGCGCAGTTGTCGCCGTGATGGTTCCCTCTGTCGGGCCATAGCTATTATAGACCGGAATTCGGGCTGCCCAGTCGTTCAGAATCTCTGGCACAAGAGGCTCTCCACCCACAATGAGAGCCTTCAAGCTCGGTACATCCGAAGGGATGAGGAGTTTCTTAACGATCGTTGGAGTTAAACTAATGTGAGTAACATCAAAATTATTGATGAAACCAGCAAGATTTGAAAATACTCGAGCTTGACTGACTAGGCAAAGGGTGCCTCCGGCGCTAAGTACTGTGAAAAGGTCAGAGTAGGATCCATCGAAGATATAGTTGAGGGCCCATAGCGATCTCCACGAGTCGTCCGTTTTAGTTGCCTCCATTATACCCTTGGTAGCGTGAAAAACATTATCGTGAGTGACGAGCACTCCTTTCGGGTCACCAGTACTTCCAGATGTGAAGATAACATAAGCAAGATTCTCAGGACATAAGGTAGTGACAACGAAATTTTCACAACTGAATTGAGAAAGATCTAGTTGGTCCAACAGCAAGTATTCATAGCCAAAGTTCTCCAATGAGTAAGAACTGGCAAGATCCGTGACAATCAATTTTGCTTTAACTTTCTTCAAGATAAACTGGTTTCGTGATGATTGACCTGCTGGGTCCAAGGCACAAATTGCAGCGCCGGCTTTGAAAACCCCAAGTATGGCAATTATCATATTGATCGATTTGTCGAGGCAGATAGGGATAACATCCTCTGGGAGGATTGCTCTAGACCGAAGGAAGTTAGCTAATCGATTTGCTTGCTCATTCAGCTGCTTATACGATATATTATTTCGATTTTCGTCCACCAAGGCGGTTTTGTCTCCGAAGCGAGAGACGCTATGTTCAAACAGTGAATGTGCAAATTGGGAATGAGTGTGGAGGGGTTTTGGCGTGGGAGGTTGGGAGGTGGAAGGCAGCATTGAGCTTAATTTAAGATCGCCAACCAGCGCCTGCGCATCGAAGGAAAAGGCATTGAAAACTGCGCCTAGTCCGGAGAGAATATTTTGGGCAAATGACGAATCTAGAGTTGAAGATAAGGAAATATTGCTTAGGTCGGAGTCGCATGCCTCGAGTTTGATAAAGTCAGTAAAACCCGGATGCTCTTCCGAAACGAACGTAAAGGTGTCATCTGCATCGGATGAAGGTGGCTTCACCAAGAAATTAACGGACGTGTCAAATAAGCCAGCCGGCTGGCCCGCAGCAAGCAAAATATTCCGCAGCCCAAAATGAGCATGCTCTGCGACCGATTGTATTTGGCGGTGGATTTCTTTCGCAACTTTGCCAATGGTTGAGGACTTGGAGATTTTAACACGTAAGGGAACTTGCACAACAGTCGGCCCTTCCATGAGCAGAATATCTGGAATCGGCACGTCTCGGCCAAATAGTGTAATGCCAAATATCACATCGGGTTTTCCAAGAATGAGAGAAAGAACTAATGCCCATGATGCATATAAGATCGAACCGACAGAGACTCCAATCGCTTTACTGGTTGAATAAATCGGAGTTGTCAAGTTCACAGTGGTGACATTATTTGGGCCCGACGTGTGTCCTAGGCTCGAAGGTTCGGAGTCCCGAAGGTAATTGCGCCAGTACTCTTGAGTTGAGATTCTGTCCTGTTGGGTAAGGTACTGCACAAACTGATTGTACTGCGGGCGACTAACTGGCGGGCGTGAACGGATCAAATTGGACAGATCATCAAACACAAAGCGGTTGGACCAAAAATCAAAAAGAGCATGATGCATAGTAAAAATTAGCTCCCCAGTGGTGAGCACAGTGACTTTGAAAAAAGGCTCTTCCATAGTGATGGTGACTGGCCTTTTCTCCAGGTACTCGGCCAGTGTCATGTCTAGGTCTTGCCATGGTAAGGGACTTTTTTTGGGGACGGTTTGAATGTAAGTCCTTCCGTAAGGAGTAAATGTGCTCCGAAGAAAGGTATCGGTTTTCAGAAGGCATTTCAGAGCGGCCTTCACTTCACCAATACTGGTGTTTTTTAACGTCACCACCCTGTCATAGACGTATTTCGCACCATCTAGCATAACATCGGCAATCAAAGGCTCTTGCGATGGGGTCGAAAGCCATGCATCCTCAATTTCGTTCGGGGCGATGTAGTCTTTAGGAAGAAGGGAAAACGCTTCTGGCCGTACTACCGGATTGTTTATTCTTTTGCAGGTGCTCGCCACCTCAAGTAGATTGTTTTGAAGCATGATATTGTGAACCTTTACATCAATAAGTTCCTTGCTAGCGCGTGACGCAGCGATTATGGCAGAAAGCGAAGAGCCGCCAAGATTCAAAAAGGATGCTTCCAAATTTATGCTCGTTTCAGGTATACACAAGACCTCTGCCCATATCCGCCTTAGCGAGCTCTCCATCGGAGTGAGATGGCACTGCTCTATGCTCTGGTTCGCAGACGTAGAATTAACAAGCATTTTCTCTGGCGGAATCGCCTGTACAAGCCTGCAAAGCTGAGGAACATCAACTTTGCCGTTAACGTTCAGAGGTAGATGAGACTGCTTCCACCAATATGCAGGAACCATGTATGACGGCAGAAGATCTC